AGCAACGCTCTTAAATTCTTTAGACTACACCCCACAGTGGATAACTACGTGTTTTATCGCTCCGTGGTCTCACGGACCCGTAAAACTCTTCGTAAGGCCAAGCGTGCCAGTTGGAGAAACTTTTGCGGCTCACTTGATGGCATGACTCCTACAGCGGATATCTGGCGCATGATCAAGCGCTTCCGTAATCGCCGGCTTGTGCCTTGCAATTCGCCTGCTCTTAACAGGTGCGCTGACATCTCTCAATCTATTGAGGACGCCATTGATAAATTGTGCCCCCCTTCCTGTCCTCCTCCTACCCCTTCATTTCCTTTGCCATATTGTGATAAATTTACCTGGCTCGACAATCCCTTTACTCTCAATGAACTTCGAACTGCTCTCCAATCAGTAAAATCCTCCTCCAGCCCCGGCCTGGACAGGATTGACTATCGCATTATAAAAGCTTTCCCCATGATGCTCCTGCTTGCGCTACTATCTATCTACAACAATCTTTTTCGTCGCTCCATTTTCCCCTCTCAATGGTCCCACTCTCTGATACACCTTCTACCTAAGCCTAATAATAGTGGTGTTTGCCTCATTTCCCTCACTTTCTGCTTTCTCAAGATTATGGAGAAAATGATTCTAAACCGGCTTTATTGGCTAATCGAGGCTCCTCCTTCCGATCTCCTACCCAACAACCAATTTGGCTTCAGGAAATTTCGATCCTGTCAAGATAACCTCACAGCCCTAGCTGCCAGCATTCACCTGGGCTTCCTAAATAAGCAAGCTACGGTAGCGGTCTTCGTCGACATTAAGTCGGCTTTCGACAATGTTCTACCTCATATTCTCTTACAAGATCTTCGAGATTTAGACTTCCCTCCGCTTTTACTATCTTTCATTTCCAACCTCATCTCCCTTCGTACGGTTCAGTTTATTAGCCAGGGTACTATCTCTGAGCCTAGAACCTCGTTTAAAGGCACTCCACAAGGCTCTGTTCTTAACCCTACGCTCTTCAACCTCTACTTAAGAGGTGTAAATGATGCGCTTCATCCTGAACTCCTTCAATTTGCCGACGATATCGTTATTTTCTCTTCATCAGAAGATATCAGGTCGGCATTACAATCTGTTGAACTTTCCCTTCAGGGACTGGAAGTCTTTCTGCAAGAGCGCGGCCTTGAGATCTCACGGCCTAAAACGCGGCTCATGATCTTCTCTAATAAGAGGTCTACAACGCATATGAACTACTCTATCTCTTTCCAGAATCAGCACATTTTACCCTCTCCTACTGTTCGCTTCCTCGGCGTGCTACTGGA